ATCATCTTGATTGTATTTAAATCAATGCCCATAATGTACCTAAAACTCTGTGGAATAGTATTAATCATTTGAATGTAAGGACCAAGTTTAATATTTCTTTAGTATTCCCTACAGTGCTCATTATAAAATATGTTTAAATAAATGATTGATTTCTACCTTCATTGAGATTATATCTAAGACTATAAAATAATTAAAATGTATAAAGAAAACTGCAACTCTTTGAGCATTATTTTTAAATGTTTTAACTAAGTAATTACACATCTGGGAATATAGTGCAAATAATGCTAGCATACATGATAAAATAACATCTCAGGATATTTATGAGAATTAATTCTGGTAACATATATAAAGTCCTTCTCACAGATCAATAAATATTAGCTGTTATTATTAATATTTTTTCGTATTTTCAATGTTAAAAACAAACCATTTGCAAATTTTTAAAAATATACAACTAGTAATAAAAAGGGAAAAAATCAGTTATGCATTGGTAATCACTTAACACTGATCTACTCCATTGTATTTTTCTAAAAATTACAAAGTTACAATCAATGACTAGTAGTAGGAGGTAGAGGATCTAACTTATGAATAAATTCTACCTACTGAGGAATGTGCTAGGTTAGTTTGAGTCAGAGTGGGGTTTAAGACTTGGTAGAAGAAAATGGAAGAAGACACTGTTCAGCTCAATTAAAATTCAGATGAAGAGTTTAACTGGTATTTTTTGTGGTTTACTTTGACTATTTCAAGCAATTTTATTCATACAAGATACATTTTCTCATTCCAACAAGGGAAATGAATAATTTTATCAACTTTTCATATGTATTTAGCTCAAAGATCTAAAAAATAACACAAATTTCTGACCATCTAATATTCTAGTAGTCATATATTATCTGTTTCAATATTTTTATCTTTATAGAAGGTAAATTCTACAAGGACAATACCATGTCTGTTTTTTTTTCATACTTGAAAAATAGTGCTAGACACAGCGTGGTAAGTAAGTATTTGTTAACTTGAACAGACCAATAACAACTAAGGAAATCGAAAATGTAATCAAGACTCTCCCAGCAAACAAAAACCCAGGCCCAGATGGCTTCACAGGGGAGTTTTACTGAATATTCAAAACAGAACTAACACCCATTTTTCTCAAACTATTTCAAAAAATTCAAGAAGAAGTAAGACTTCCAAAATCGTTTTATGAGGCCAGCATAATTCTAATTCCTAAACCAGAAAAAGACATTACAAAGAAAGAAAACTACAGGCCAATATCCCTGATGAACATAGACGCCAAAATCCTAAACAAAATACTAGCAAATCGGATCCAGCAACACATCAAAAAAATTATTCACCATGACCAAGTGGGATTCATCCCAGGGATGCAAGTCTGGTACAATATTCACAAATCAATAAATGTGATAACCACATAAATAAAATGAAGAATAAAAACCACATGATCGTATCAATAGATGCAGAAAAAGCCTTCAACAAAATCCAGCATCCATTTCTGATAAAAAACCCTCAGCAATATGGGAATAGAGGGATCATATCTTGACAAAATAAAGGCCATATATGAAAGACCTACAGCTAACATTATACTCAATGGGCAAAAACTAAAAGCATTTCCCTTAAGAACAGGAACAAGACAAGGATGCTCACTTTCGCCACTCTTATTTAACATAGTACTGGAAGTCTTAGCCACAGCAATCAGACAGGAAGAAAAAATAAAAGGGATCCAATTGGAAAGGAGGAAGTGAAACTGTCATTATTCGCAGATGACATGATATTATACGTAGAAAACCCCAAAGACTTCATCAAAAATTTACTAGACTTAATAAATGCATTTGGCAAAGTAGCAGGATACAAAATTAATGTCAAGAAGTTGACGGCATTCTTGTACACCAATGATGAACTCACAGAAAGAGAAACTAAGAAAAAAATCCCACTTACCATTGTGGGAAAAAAATTAAGATACCTAGGAATAAACTTAACCAAAGAAATAAAGGACCTATTTGCAGAAAACTACAGGTCATTGAAAAAAGAAATAGAGGAAGATATAAAAAAGTGGAAGCACATACCTTGTTCATGGATTGGAAGAATTAACATCATTAAAATGTCCATACTACCCAAAGCAATCTATAGATTCAATGCAATCCCTATCAAAATAGCAAAGACATACTTCACAGAACTAGAACAAATACTACAAAAGTTCATATGGAACCAAAAAGACCTCGAATAGCCACCGCAATCTTGGAAAAGAAGAACAAAGTAGGAGGGATCACATTACCAGATTTCAGGTTATACTACAAAGCCACTGTAATCAAAAAAGCCTGGTACTGGCACAAGAACAGGCATATAGACCAGTGGAACAGAACAGAGAATCCAGAAATGGACCCATTAATGTGCTCAATTAATATTTAACAAAGGTGGCAAGAGCATATAGTGGAGTAAAGACAGCCTCTTTAATAAATGGTGCTGGGAAAATTGGACAGCTACATGCAAAAAAATGAAACTGGACCATCAACTTACACCATATACAAGAATAAACTCAAAATGGATAAGAGACTTAAATGTGACTCATGAATCCATAAAAATCCTCGAAGAAAATGTAGGCAACAAAATTTCAGACATCATACGCAGCAGAATTTTCACTGATACGTCACCTAAGGCAGCAGAAACACAGGAGAAAATGGACACATGGAACTACATCAAACTCAAAAGCTCTGCCAGCAAAAGATACAATCATCAAAATGGAAAGGCAAGCCACTGTATGGGAGAGCATAATTGCCAGTGATATATCAGATAAGGGGTTAATTTCCAATATATAGAGAATGCTCATACAATTCAACAAAAGGAAGACAAAGAACCCAATTAAAATATGGGCAGAGGAACTAAATAGATACCTCTCCAAACAGGACATACAAATGGCTAAGAGACATATGAAGAAACGTTCAACATCACTAATCATCAGAGAGATGCAAATTAAAACAACAATGAGGTATCGCCTCACACCTGTCAGAATAGCCACCACCAACAAATCATCAAACAACAAGTGTTGGCGAGGGTGTGGAGAAAAGGGGACTCTAGTACACTGCTGGTGGGAATGCACACTGGTGCAGCCACTATGGAAAACAAATGGTGTTACCTCAAAAAATTAAAAATTGAATTGCCGTTTGACCCAGTGATCCCACTTCTAGGAATATACCCTAAGAAGCCTGAAACACCAATCAGAAAGAATATATATACCCCCATGTTCATAGCAGCACTATTTACAATAGCTAAGATCTGGAAACAGCCCAAATGTCCATCAGTAGACAAATGGGTAAAAAAGCTATGGTACGTACACACAATGGAGTACTATGCAGCTCTAAGAAAGAAAGATCTCTTATCCTTTGAGATGACATGGAGGGACCTGGAAAGTGTCATCCTAAGCAAAACAAGCCAAACAGATAATGACAAGTATCATATGACCTCACTTATCTGGGGAATATAATGAACATAACAGTCTGAGGAATGGGGTAGTCCCAGAGATGTGGAAGTGAGGTACAGACTGACAATCCCCAGAAGAGGGTGTGGTGGGGGAGAGATAAACCACAGAACTTATATGCATGCATGTGTGCATGAACAATGGACATGGACAACAAAGCGGGGGACAGGGCGGGGAGGGGAAGAGGGGAATCAGTGGGGAAAAAAGGAGAAACATCTATAGCAAAAATAATTAATTAAAAAAAATAAGTGTTGAACAACAAACGAATGGATGGAGGCAACCTTATTACATTATGTATTCTGTGAATTGATTCAAATAAAATTTATAATGTATAGTTAGATTTACAGTGTTAAAGGACAATATATATTTTTTTATCCTCACCCAAGGACATTTTTGCATTTATCTTCAGATAGAGCAGGAGGGAGAGAGAGAGAGAGAGAGAGAAACATCGATGGGAGAAAGACATATCAACTGGTTGCCACCCACACGAGCCCAACCAGACCAGGAACAAACTGCAACCAAGGTATGTGCCCTTAGTGGAAACTGAACCCAGAACTCTTCGGTCCTTGGGCTGACACTCTAACCACTGAGCAAAATTGGCCAGGGCCAGAACAACATTTTTGATGCTAAATTTATAACTGTTTTCTATCTCTAACCATTTTCTTTCTTTCCCATTGAATGATCTGGACCTGTTTGGTTTGTCCTAATTAGCTAAGTTATTCCCAGGTTTTAACTTTGGGAACACCAAACATCAACTAGAATACTCTAGTAAGCTTTTATTATTTTTTCGTAGCTAATTTTCATGCATTGAATCATAGTTTCATAAATGAGAGTTGTCTAAAATATATATACCTCATGTAAAAATTTTGTTCACATACAAAATGAATTTTTATTTTAAGATCTATCTTTTTTTGTTCTGTCTCTTATTGGATAAATTATAAGGCTTCCTGAAGCAGATACTCAAGAGTTTTCTTGAAAGACAAATTTTGTAGAAAACAGGAGTAGAAAGTAGTAGCTATTACCTGTATTTCTTATTTTGTGCTGATTTTAAAAATCTAGAACATGGATAAGTGTTTATTATATTCATGATTTATGTAGATGTAATCTTAAAACCTTTAGTTTAAATTTAGAATATTATAAACAAATAGTACATTGTGTTATCAGTGGATATTTTTTATTCTGTTTTTACCATATACGTTTAAAGCACTATTTGACAAATGCAAATTGTGGTTGCTGAAAGCCAATGTCAGCCACTTGGGTTATTATGTTTGTTTTGTGTTTATTAACATAGTTATCTTACTAATATAAGTTTAACAATAAAATGTTTTCTATCTTAAAATGTTACAACATAACTTTAAGTTAAATACATCTGTTATAATTCATCAAAATAACATTCTCTGAATGTATTCTCTTTATTAACCAAACATCCTTTTCTTTGTCTTTTTGAGTAACAGCATGCTTCTATGGCTCTTTAATTAAATGACCTTACCTTACATTTGTCTCGACTGGCTTCTGTTTACAGAAATTGTAAACCAATTGAATGCTCTGAGCAGCTTAGATGAAGATCAAGATGACTGCATAAAGCAAGCAAATATGCCTTCAGCTAAATCAGCCAGTTCCTCTGAAGGTCTAAGAGCTTTCTTCCTTTCTTTCTGCTGCCTATTGCCTGTATTTACTGTGACCTGCTACCTCTTGACTTCTGTCTGTACTTAGCTGTCAGTTTTGTCTTTGTGCTTTTCCTTGGATCTTTTCTTTGGTAATTTGTAGTACACCAACAGGCAGCAACATAACAGAACTTACCATCTTTAGCAAAGCTTTATATCAGGATTCGTTAGGCATTGATTTTAAAACATCTTATAAGATAATAATTGGTCATGTAACATGGCAATATTTCTTCAGTTAGTGTATATATTGTGATTATATTGTTTTTAAAAATATTTCTTAGATTAAATCCATTTGAATTATTTATATTTAGGAGTGAAGAATGTTTTACTAAAAATTTATGTTAGTACTTTTTCATTAGATTAAATTAAATTCAGATACAAGTCTCTCTAGTTCATTATCTGATGATTTTCAAATTAATATGTATATGTTTGTTTTGTTTTATATGAAAAAGTTGGTATGCTACAAAATACTTCAAGGGCATTCTGCCACTGGTAAAAGGCTATATCCTATTATTTGCAGGTATTATTAATGTGAATTTTTATAATTTGAAAATTTCATGGAAGATCGAAATTATGCTTTACTATAACCATACTGAACTAACACACATGTTTATTTTCAGAGCTTATCAACAAACTTAACTTTTTGGATGAAGCAGAAAAGGACTTGGCCACTGTGAATTTAAATCCATTTGGTGATCCTGATGTAGCAGAATTAAATCCATTTGGCGATCCCGACTTGGAAGGTAGCAAATTTTTTTTCTATACTTTTGAAGTCTTTACATAGTCAGATCTCTTGAACTGTAATGGCAGGAAGAGATTTTTAAAAAGACTCATAAAATAATTTTTGTCCCTAAAAGCAGGTACTCAAGAGTTCCCTTAAAAGACAAATTTCTGCCCTGGCCAGTTTGCCTCAGCAGTTAGAGCGTTGGCCTGTCAACCAGAGAGTCCCAGGTTTGGTTCCTGCTTAAGGGCACGTATCTCCGTTGCAGTTTGTCCCCAGCCCCAGTCATTTGGGTGGCAACCAGTCAATGTGTGTCTCTCACATCAGTGTTTTTCTCTCTCTCTTCCTTCCTTTCTCCCTCTTGCTCTATCTGAAGATAAATGCAAAAAAATGTTCTCTGGTGAGGATAAAAAAAAAAGACAAAATTCTTAGAAAACAGGAATAGAAAATAGTAGCTATTGCCTTTTTTTCTTATTTTGTGCTGATTTTTAAAATGAACATGAACAAGTATTTTACCTACCAGGCATACAGTAAAGTCTCATTAGTTTGGCCAACCAAGAAAGGTCAGGTTGTGGCGGATACTGATATTGAAGTGGCAGGTGATTTTTCTTCCTCTAGACAACTCTTTCACCCTCACCCTCAGAGAATTTGATGAGTCCCTCTCCCTCTTATTCCATGTCCCTGGTTGAGAATTATAGTCAGTGGTGAGAGTTAAGTTGTGCATGTGAATAACGGAGCAGAAGGAAGATTAAGAATCATTGTTATACGTACAACATAATTGGAAGTAATAAACCCAGGTATTTTTTCCCTGGGTCATTTTTCTTATCAAGTAGTTTTGACCTTTTTTTTTTTTTTTAAATCCTTACCCGAGGGTATTTTTCTATTTATCTTCAGATAGAATGGGAGGGAGGGAAAGAAAGAAACATCTACACAAAAGAGATGCATTGACTGGCTGCCTCCCAGACCCAGACTAGGTCCGGGAATGAACCACAACCAAGGTATGTGCTCTTGACTACCCTTGATCGGAATAACTCTCAATTCATTAGTCCTGAGACCGATGCTCTAACCACTGAGAACAACTGCCCAGGCTAGTTTTGACCTCTTAAAGCCTAGATAAGAGCTATTTAATAAGTGAGACTTCTGTTTAATTAAATTCTGTTTGCATAAAGTAAATGCAAGAATGATTAGTCACTGTTTACATCTTCCAGACTGCTGTTTTCTTTTTAAATATGTTTTTATTGACTTTAGAGAGAGAGGAAAGGAGAGGGAGAGAGTGACAGAAACATCAGTGAGAGAGAGAGACATCAACATCAGTTGGCTGCCTCCTGCACGCCTCTTACTGGGGATGGAGCCTGCAATCCGGGCATGCTCCCTGACCAGGAATCAAACTGGCAACCTCTTGGTGCATGGGTCAACTTTCAACCACTGAATCTTATCAGCTGGCCATAGACTGCTCTTATGAAAACTTCATGAGCTTTAAAGAATTTAACTGCCACCTGTCATGGTGAAAATGAGGTTCTAACTTCAGGATTCACTCTGTTAGAGCAATACTATTTCATAAACCACTTCTCTTTCTCTTCCTTTACTTTCTCCCTTCTTATCAGATTCTAAATTAGTAAGTTTAAATTAATGAGATTTTATTTTGTTTGTGAGCTAATTATATTAAGAACATATTTTAAATCTTAACAGTTACAATAAATTTTAGAGGTAATCTAGCTCAGCTACCTATTTTCATAGATTAGGAAGCTGAGGCCCAGAGAAATTAAGTGATTTGAACAAGAACTTTAGGTAAATGGAGATGGAGTTGGAGATAAGATTCTTAATCAAGTGTCTTCCTTTGACCGTATAGCTTCTTCTTGATGTGTATTACATACATCTGAGTATATTGAGTTTTAAAAATATTACCAAAATATTTTAAGACATCAGTATTTGAGCTTTTCATTTCAGAATAAAATAAGTACTTTTTTTATATATATGTAGGTCTGTTTTCTGAGGAGTAGCAGATATCATATAGTACTGTATTTCTACACAGGAGAGGTTAGCCAACCTTACTCAGAATCTTTCCTCATGCCTGTAGGGCTAAGAAAAAATGTGACAACCAGTATTCTCTTTAAATATATATCCCTTAGAGTTTTTGGAATAAGTATTTTCTACTAGGAGAACATTTATTTTTAACTTGTATCTTCTAGTAAAAAAAGTATTTGAGGAAGATAAAAACATGTTACAGTTGTTAAGATGGATTATTATTTGCTTTTACAGCTTCAGTTCTCTTACATTCATGGTATTCTGTGCTTCAGTGACCCTTTTAGAAAGTTACTAAGTGTATTTATTAGTTTTTATATGAAATAATCTTATCTTAAACCCTCTTTTTTTTTTTTTTTTACCAGTTCTGTCATTTCCAAGTCTTGCTTTATAGCTTGAATACTTTCTTTCTTTTGGTTTTGTAACTGATTAATTTGCTTGGATCAATTTTTACAATCCTCTTTCTGTGAGTGAAAATTAAAATTTTATTTCCATTGACTAGTTTTTTTAAACACTTCTGACCTGATATTTGTTAATAAAAAAAATTGAGTAGGCAGAAATTTTGCAACCTTTCTTTCCCTACTGAGAAAAGAAAATATTTTATTTAGATTATTATAAATATTCTAGTGGTGTTAAGTTTTTAATATTATCCTGGTTCCTTGTATCCTGTTACAAAAGATACACTGTTATTGAGTCTCTTCTCTAGCATAGACTGTATTTAAATTCATTTTTAGTATTGATTTGTTATAACTTTATGCATTCTCTTTCATACTTTATAATTGCTTCCTTATGGTATATAGAATTTTAATTCATAATTTTTTTCAGTATAAAGAAAGACTAAGTGTTCTGGGCTAATGTCTAAAGTAGAGGTAAAAGTAGTTTGACTTTAAAATGTAAAAGTCATAAATATATATAAATCATGAGACCTATATATATCTGTAATAATCAGGTTAAATTATTTGAAATTTCCCTTATGAAACAATTGTTTTTCTTGAGAATTTCAATAACCAGTTTTCTGCCTCTTCCCAGAATATTTTGTTAGAGTTGCAAGGCATAATTAAAATTACTTTTAAGCCATGCTATTATTATTTGCTCTCTGAAACTTTTCTTCAGGTGGGGAATGTATTTATTTTTATCAGCAAAATCATGATCAAATTTTGGACAATTTTATTAGAAATTCTATTTTGTTTTAAAATATTAATAAACATAAAAGAAGAAAAGGCTGGTTCTAAGTACTTCACAAGTTGGAGGACATGATACTGCTGGTAATGCTTTTTGTGCTGTGAAGCAGAGTTTTGTTTTTAAGAGTACCTTTGTTTTCAAATTCAAAATAATAAAATTTAGAAGAATTTGGTATAACATGTCTGTCAGCTTATTGGTATGATTTTAATACAGTGCTTTCAACTTGAAAATTCTTGTTTTTTTCTTTGCATTATTAAATAGGATATTGATTGGATCCAAGTTATTTTGAAAAAATTCAAACATCTTTTTAAATGATCTAAAGATTTAAGGTCTTGTAGGATACAAAAACCTGCTCTTTGAAGATTTTGCAAGAACAAATTCAGTGATTTATGGGTATATTTTCTATACATCCCAGAATGAATTTTCAGATCCCTAAGTGGATTTTACTTGTGTAACTTACCAAAGACCATTTCAAAATTTAATTCATTTTACGGTTTTTTTAAAGCAGATATTTATTATGTATCAGTTTGAGATGGCAAGTTAGTTCATTGAAATAAAATAGGCAATAATAGAATGTTGTACTTCTAAAAAGATTAAAATTTCCAAAATTGTCATGTCATAGTGCTAATATTGTTAGAGACTCCAAAGGCACTCCAAAGATGCCATTTTGGGGAGTACCATGCCTGGAAAAGTAGACAAAGATCTTAGATATCACTAATTCTGAATTTAGCCTCTGTAATAAAATATAATAGTGCTTTGACTCAGCTCCATAGAGTTGCTTGATTTAATATTGAGTATTTTTGAAAACACTAAAAATGTTTTAAAAATCAGAGAAAATTAATTGGATTTACTTATCTGTTGCTATTATTTTATAGAACCAACCACTGAAACAGTATCACCTAAAAAACCAGAAGAACCTTTTTATAATAACAGCTATAATCCCTTCAGAGATGAACAGACTCCACAGTATTTAAACCCATTCGATGAAACAGAAACCTTTGTAACTATAAAGGATTCTCCTCCCCAGTCTACAAAAAGAAAAAATGTAAGACCTGTGGACATGAGCAAGTACCTCTATGCTGATAGTTCTAAAACTGAAGAAGAAGAGTTGGATGAGTAAGTACATTTCATTTTGCATCATCATAGGTCAGTCTTTATATTAACTACAGGGATCCTCTGTAATATACTTCTAGTTGGGTTAAAATGAGGTCTGTTGCAATATTGAGATAGTTTACAAGTTAGTATCTATCCCATCCCCATCTGAATTTTTGTAAATTTTACCCTTAATCTCCCATCCTTCTCCATGTGCTTGTATACTCTAAACTAACCAACGAGGGAATATGTTCCTGGAATCTCTGGTTAGAATTTCTATAGTGTCTTCTCATAAGAACTATGCTATAAATGGTATTTGGGTATTTTTAATTGATTACTGTATACATCACGCTTCAGTTGTGTTATAAGTCTTTCATGGGAACCAAATAATTATTTTATTTTTTTAATCCTCACCTGAGAATATTTTTTTCATTTATTTTCAGATAGAGTAGGAAATAGAAACATCGACATGAGAGGGACACATTAACTGGTTGCCTCCCGCATGACCCTGACCAGGGCTGGGGACCGAACTGCAACCAAGGTACATGCCCTTGACCAGAATCAAACCCGCAACTCTTTGGTCCGAGAGCCAGTGCTCTAACTGCTGAGCCAAACTAGCCAGGGCAGGAACCAAATAATTATTTATGATATTGATTTGATGAGAAGACTTGTTCAGATGCCAAAGAATGAGACTGTAACATTTATAAATTAGGAATTGTCATTTGTGTTATTTATTCTTACCCAAATGAAAGGTTTACAAGTTCAGTATAGTCAGTGTGATTAGGGCTTCCATTTTACTCAAATCTAGGGTGGTCATAGGAGAACGAGGTATTCACATTGTGTTCTGAAGTTATACAGTGTAATACCTGTGTGACTACAGTCTGTGGCCCTGGGTGTATTAAAAAGCAGAAAGCAAAACTTCTACTTGCAGCCATGTTAAAAAAGAAGCTCTTCAGGTAGGGAGAAAGTGACACTACGTGGAGATTTGGCTCTGCAAAGGAATGCAGAGTACCAGAAATGACGAAAATATTAGTATATATAAAATACTTCCTATTTTTAAAATTTCTCTAAAATATAACTGACTTTAAAGTTTAAATAAAAATATATTCTGTGTTTTATAACACGTATAGAAAATGACAATCTTAAAAATGACAATTATGACAATTTAGCATAGAAGTTGAGAGTGGGAAATTGAAGAGTGATGTTTTAAGCTTCTTCAGCATAATGTTACTTGAAGATATCCTAATATTTTTACAGATGACATAGTTGTTTATGTAGAAAGTCATAAGGAATCTTCAGAAAGTTTACTAGAACCAAAGAGTAAATTTGGCAACATTACAGGATAATTGATTAATATACAAATTTAATTATATTTTTCTATAGTACAATGGAATGTCAGAAATAGAGATTTTTTAAAAATTTAATTAATTAATTTATTTTTGTTACTAGAGTTTTGTTTTGTTTTTTGTACGTGCCCCAAGTGGGAACCGAACCCAGGACTCTCTGGTCTGCAGGCCGACGCTCCAACCGCTGAGTCAAACCAGCCAGGGCAGAAATAGAGAATTTTTAAACACCATATACAAAAGTATAAAATAAAGCCCTGAGGGATAAATTTGAAGAAAGGTATAATTGTATGCTGAAAGCAACAAAGCATTGCTGAGAGCAAATAAAGAGAGAAATCAAATGGACAGAAATACTATGGGTGTGGATTCAAATTGATCTATTCATTCAGTACTATCCAAATCAAAATTTTGATGTACTTTTTTGTAAAAGTTGGTAAGCTAATTCTAAAATATATATAGAAATGCAAGGGATCTAGAAGCGTCAGAACAATTTGAAAAAGAACAAACTTGGAGGACTTGAACTACTCCATTTCAAGACTCATTAACCAAGACATTGTGGTATTACTTAAAAGTAGGCATATAGGTGAAAGGAAAAAAAATGAAAAAGTCCTGAAATAAATCTACACTTATACTGCCAATGGATTTTTGACAAAGCTAGCAAGGGAAGTTGGTTATTAAATGATAATCTTGACAACAAATGGTGCTAGAATAAGTAGATTTCCATATCAAGCCCCTACTCCTCCCACACACACACAAACTACAATCCTCATATCACACCATATAAAAAATTTAACTAAAAATATATACACCTAAAAGTAAGAACTAAAACATTGGGCCCTGGCTGGTTTGGCTCAGCGGTTAGAGCGTCGGCCTGCGGTACGGAGAGACCCGGGTTCAGTTCCTGCTAAGGGCACGTACCTCGGTTGCAGTTTGTCCCCGGCCCTGGTTGGTCGTGCGGGTGGCAGCCACTCGATGTGTCCCTTCACATCGATGTTTCTCTCTCTCTCTCTTCCTCTCTCTCCCTCCCGCTCTGTCTGAACAAAGAATGCAAAAATGTCCTCGGGTGAGGATTAAAAAAAAACAACAACAAAAAAGAACTAAAACATTGGAACTTCTAGAAGAAAGCATAGGTGAAAATCTTAGTGATTTTGGATTAGGATGCAAAAAGCACAAAAAAAGGAAAAATTGTTAGACACCAGCAAAATGAAAAACTTATTCTTTAAATAAAAAAAAGAAAGACACTTAGGAAAATGAGAAGGCATGTCATGGTTTGGCAGAAATTCTTTGTAAAACACATATCTGTCAAAAAACCTCTGTCAAGAGGTTGTAAGTAATTTTTTAGCCCAATAATAAGACAAACATTTTTTTAAAGAGGGAAAGATTTGAAAAGAAATTTCACAAAAGAAAATATAAGAATAGTCCGTGTGCATACAAAACATGCTCAACATCTTATTCATCAAGGGAATGCAAATTAAAACCAAGTAAGATACCACTACATACCCACTTGAATTGCTAAAATTTAAGAGAATGGCTATATCAAATACTGTCAAGGATGTAGAGCCACTGAAACTCTCATAGAATTCTCAAGAGAGTTCTAAATGGTAGAATCATTTTATTTTATTTTTAATTAAATTTACTGGGGTAACATTGGTTAATAAAATTACCCAGGTTTCAAGTGTACAATTCTGTAATACATCATCTGTATATTGCATGTGTGTCTGCCACCCAAAGTAAGATCTCCTTCCATCACCTTATATTTGATCACTTTTACCCTTTACTACCACCCCACATCCCCCTTTCCTTTTAATAACCACTTTATTGTTTGAGTTTTTGTCTTGTTTGTTCATTTGTTGTTTTTAGTTTTATATTTCACGTATAAGTAAAATTACATGATTTTAATTTTTTCTGTTTGACTTTGCTAGCATAACATTTTCAAGATCCATCCATGTTGTTGCAAATGGCAGTATTTCATCTTTTCTTATAGCTGAATAGTATTCTGTACCAAATCTTCTTTATCCAGTCATCTGTCAAAGGACACTTAAGTGTGATACAACCATTTTAGAAAACAATTTTGGCAGTTTCTTAAAATGTTAAACTTATACCTATCATTTGACCCAGACATTCCATTCTAGGTACTATTCACCTAAGAGGAATGAAAGCATATGTCCACAGAAAGATTTGTACATGAATAGTTTAACACGTTTACTTATCACAATAGCAAAATATGAGAATAACTCCAATGTTCATCAGTAGGAAAATGGATAAACAAATTGTGTTATATCCATACAATGGAATACTACTCAGTAATAAAGAAGAAATAAATGATTTTTCAGAATTTTATTTTTCAAATACAGTTGGCATTCAATGTTAATCTACATTAGTTTCATGTGTATAGCATAGTGGTTAGACAGTTATATAGTTAACAAAGTGATTCCTCCACTTGGCACATACATAGTTATCACAATATTATTGACTATATTTCTTATGCTATACTTCATGTCCAGTAACTATTTTATAACTACCAGTCTGTACTTCTTAATCTCTTTACCTTTTTCACCCAGCTCCTCAACTCCCCTCTCATCTGGCAACCCTCAGTTTATTCTCTGTAACTATGAATTTGTTTTTGTGTTGTTTATTTGTTTTATTCTTAAGATTCCATATATAAGTGAAATTGTGCTATTTGTCTTTCTCTGTTTGACTTATTCACTTAGCATAATACCCTCTAGGTCCATCCACACTCTGATAAATTGTTAAATTTCATTTTTTTTTTATGGCCAAGTAATATTCCATTGTATCATCACTTTTTTTTCAATTTTTATTGATTTTTGTTACATATGTTTCTCCTTTTTCCCCCCAGACACCCTCCTCCCCATTTCGCCCCCCCCCCACCTCCTTAGTATTGTTGTCTATGTCTGTTGTTTACGCATACACACATATAAATTCTTTGGTTTATCTTATTCATCTCTCTTGACCCCCCCCCTTCTCTGATGTCTGTCATTCTGAACCATACTCCTTTCTGTCTCTGGGTCTGTTTTGTTCATTAGTTTATTTTGTTCATTGTATTCCACAAATAAGTGAGATCATGTGGCATTTGTCTTTCTCTGAATGGCTTATTTTGCTTAACATAATGCTCCCTAGGTCCCTCCATGTCTTCTTCAAGGAAAAGAGATCTTTCTTACACCTGCATAGTATTCCATTGTGTATAAGTACCACAGCTTTTTTATCCACTCATCTATTGATGGACACTTGGGCTGTTTCCAGATGTTAGCAATTGTAAATAGTGCTGTTATGAACATAGGGGTACATATATTCTTTCCGATTGGTGTTTCAGGCTTCTTAGGATAAATTCCTAGAAGTGGGATCACTGGTTCAAATGGCAGTTCAATTTTTAATTTTTTTAGGAAACACCATATTGTTTTCCATAGTGTCTGCACCAGTCTGCATTCCCACCAGCAGTATACTAGAGTCCCCTTTTCTCCACACCCTCACCAGCATTTGTTGTTTGATGATAACAGCCATTCTGACAGGTGAGAAGTAATACCTTATTGTTTTAATTTGCATCTCTCTGCTGATTAGTGACGTTGAGTCATTTCTTCATATGTCTCTTAGCCATTTGTATATCCTTTTTGGAGAGGTGTCTATTTAGGTAGGTCCTCAGCCCATTTTTTATTTGAGTTCTTT